TTCATTCCTTCAATCACCTTCCCACAAACAAGGTTTTCCTCATTAAAACCCTTGTATAAATTTTGCTTAGTAAAAACAAGCTGAGCATGGTGACTCATGCCTGTAATCCCAGCAGTTTGGGAGGCTGAGGTGGGCAGATCCCTTGAGTCCAGGAGTTCAAGGTAAGACTGGACAATATGGCAAAACCCATCTCTACAAAAAATGCAAACATTTTTCATACTTTTGTATTTTTGGTGGTGCATGCCTGTAGTCCTAGCTACTTGGGAGGCTGAGGTGGGAGAATCATTTGAGTCCAGGTGGTGGAGGTTGCAGTGAGCCAATATTGTACCACCACGCTCCAGACTGGGCAGCAGATAGAGTAAGATTCTGCCGCAAATAATAATAATAATAATAAATAAAAATAAAATAAAATAAACTTTCAAAATAATATCCTCCTTCAAGTCATCATACCTTAAACTAGCATGTTGTACATATAAAGTAGCTAATTAATGGACTTGGAAATACCGCCCTTTGTTTTACTTGGTCAATGTGCATCTACTCGATTTGTTCAGTTTTCATGCATTAATGCCTTTGAGGAATGAAGGCTAAGAACAGTACATTCCAATATGTTTCAAAGATATGCTAGGCAAAAAGACTGTAGGCATCTAAAGCCTCAGTCCAAGGCTATTGTCTGCTTATCCTCTAAGCAAAATGTATGGCAGAGAGAAGGTATTTAAATCTCATTTGTATGGATGAGTGAAACAATAAATGACTGAGAAGAGCATCTATTGCAGTGGCGACCAAAAGGCATCAACTAAAAAGAGTAAATGCTAACCAATAGATTATGGGTATAAGGCTCCAAAATCTATTGGCTGTAAGTCTAGACAAGCTACTAGATTTTTATGAACACTTATTTCCTTAAAATTAAAAGCTGCGGTAATAAACATAGAATCACAGAACTGTCCATGCTCTGACAAAAAATTACTTCAAATCCCTGTGTGGACACATAGGCTCTTTAAGTCTGTGGTCCATATCTGCTAAATAACAAGGTTTGACTAGATTACATGGATATCTACTCCATCTAGTTAAGGGTCTATAATCGTAGAACAGCTGCAGTGAAAAAATAGATGAAAAAAATGCTTTGAAAAAAAGTTAAAAGTGTTATACATATGTTTGATATAGGTGGAAAAAGCCAATAAGGGAAAAATAACATCTGGTCAAAGATTCCAAAATTATCCGTCATTCTTCTGAACTATTCACGGCTTTTAAGGATCTCCTTTCTTTGGAGCTGCCTATCATTTGCGTACCATATCAAAAGCATTCTTACAGGACACACTGTAATATTGGTCACCAACTTCAAAAAGTCACTTTCTATATTTGTAGCTAATAGATATATAGCAAAGAGCCCTATGTCATTAACAATAACTTAAGTCATCTTTCAGTCCACAGTTTTCTGTGGTTTATTAATGGCATCACACATTAATTCTTCTTTCAGGAGTGACCTTTACAACACCATTAATCCTCACTGCTTTTATCCAACTACATTATTACTCATTAAAGTTTCAGCTTTCAACATCTGCATTTGTTGAAAAGAGAAAGGTAAATTGTAGTGGCCTCCAATCCTTGGAAATTATGAGAGATGTGTATGTGGTAAAGGAACTTTTCAGGAAAAAAAAAAGATGTTTTAGTAGTGGGGAAAGTCATGATAAATGACATTAAGTATGTTCTTGCCTTTCTAAAATAATTTGTCGTACTTAATCCTTGGGAATGCTAAAGAAAATATATTCATACATGATAAAAATAAAAATTAGTTATTCTATTAGTCACATATTCTAGTTCTAACATCATAAAAGTTGTTCATGTACCAATACTATGACATTTATGAGCCTACATGTGTATTATGATAGTGTATGATTCTTGCCAAATAAAATATTTTTTCTTTTACATAGTGCATGAAAGTAGATCTAATCTTGGAGCCCACTTAGGATGTTTAGCAGAGTAGCTGGAGTTAGACTATAAGGTGAAAAAGCACACATGTGTCTGAAACCTTTTTCAAACTTCTCAAAACTTCCATTTTCACTGTGGACCCATGCCTAGACTGAATTTCTCTTAACAAATAATCTGGAATTCTACTTTGTGGAGATTAAAGCATTTGATACACACTCCTTCAGCCTTCATTCTCATCATTCCAAAATTTCTCTGAAATTTTACCATTTTTCTCTTCCTTTCCTTCAGTCTCAGGAAGAAGAAAAGTTTTTCTCCTTTACAAGGGTTAATTCCTTCCCACCATCTCCTTGCTATCTTGTCACTCTTGTACTTTTTCATATCTAGACATGTCTCTAACTCTTCTTCCTCTTCCCCCTTGAAAAGTAATATACATATTCCTATTTTAAAACCTGTCTCTACTTAGCCTTCTCAAACTATTATCACTTCATAACACCAAACTTAGAAAAAGATGAATTTATATCACCAAATTAACTTTCTTTCCTCTTATTCTTCCACTCTGTATAATTGGAAATCTATTCAAACCATTCTATTAAAACTTCTCTGTCAGTCTACCTGTCCAGTTAAAATCTTAAGGCTCTTATACTTCATGTTCTTTAATTTTCCTGCAGAAGGTGTACCATTAAATAATCCCTCTTTTTTGAAACTTAATTTTCCTAGGCTAGCATGACATTACCCTATCTTGACTCTTATTCTGAAATACCCACTTGCTCTTCATTCTAAGACACTCAACTTACTCTTCATTAGTTTTGCATCTAAAAAAAGTGTAGTTGTTCTACAATATGTCCAATGATACTTTTATACTCTACTTCACTTGGAGCCTAATTCTGCTTCCCTTAGTTGGGCTGGACTTAATGATTCTCCTATTCTGCTTTATTAAGCAGAATTGCCTCTGAATGACTTTGGAGAACAGCTTATAAAAGACGCTGTGCCTTTCCCTTTGCTCTTTCCTTGGATCACTCACTCAGGAAGGTTCACTGTCATGCTACAAGCAGCCCAAGGGACAGGCCTATGTGGCAAAGAACTGAGACCTCCAGAAAACAGATAATAATAAATGTTAAATAATAAATAACAATAAAAGAGACAACAAATATTGGTTGTTTTAAGCTGCTAAGTCTTAGGTTAATTTGTTACACAGCAATGAATAATACAATACCAATGTTCTGATATTAATACAGTACATAGGTATCATAAATATTAGTTATCTCTCTACTAGTATCTAATACAATACCTATGATTCTACGCTCGACTTCTTACCACACACAGCCTTTTTTGGTGGACTTATTTGCCCTCCTGACTTCAACCACCTCATTAAGGAATAATTTCCATATCTAAAATTCTAGCACCTCTTTGCTTATGAGGCTTATATTTCTAGCTTCTTCCTGAACATCTCTACCTAAATAGTTCTTTGTGCTTCAAATCAACACATATTAAATTTTTATGTCTTTTTTTTTTTGAGACAGAGTTTTGCTCTTGTTACCCAGGCTGGAGTGCAATGGCGCGATCTCGGCTCACCGCAACCTCCGCCTCCTGGGTTCAGGCAATTCTCCTGCCTCAGCCTCCTGAGTAGCTGGGATTACAGGCACGCGCCACCATGCCCAGCTAATTTTTTGTATTTTTAGTAGAGACGGGGTTTCACCATGTTGACCATCCTGGTCAACATGGTGTTGACCTCGTGATCCACCCGCCTCGGCCTCCCAAAGTGCTGGGATTACAGGCTTGAGCCACCGCGCCTGGCCCAATTTTTATGTCTTCACACAAACCTGCTCCCATTCTGGGCTCCCCTTTCATAGTTGATAGAGGGACAATCCTTGTTATTTCATAAATTCAAAATTCTAGTTTCCTCTGTCTACAATTTGACCTTTATCAGATATATTTTATTGTGAATAAATTATGTCAATTCTTCCTTACTTAATATCTTTTTACTCTATTCTCTCCTTTATCATTGCTTATTTCTATCTCACCTAACTTATTCTTGCCTATACCTAAACAATGGTTTCCTAAATTCCAGTGTCATTCTGCCATCTGATCCTTTCAGTTTTAGCTTGGGTCACTTTCCACTACATATTTTTTATATAATCTAGACAAATCAGTGCATTTATCAAAAATATGCTATTTAACTTTGTGATTTTTCTTACTGCCTAGAATGCCTAGAATCTCTCTCTTCTTCAAGGCTGTTTGAATTAGGATATATCTAACTCATACTCTTCTGTGGTCCTTCCCAGACAGAATCCAACACCTTCCAATCTTTGTAGAATTGTATCTGTGTTCTGCAATAGCACTTATTAGAGCTGACTTATACCATAGAAGGAATGACTTTCCCTTAGCTAAACTATGAGCTCCTTGAAGGCTGACCTATGCTGGCGTCCTTAAAAATTGAATAAAAATAATAAATTATAAATAAATCTGGGTTCAAATCAGTATCCACAGTCTGATTTATGCATGCTAAAATTAAAATCATTGAATTTTTCAAAGTCAGCTTATAGAAGTGTTTTCTACTATTTTGTTTACTGAATTTACAATTATGTAGAATTGAAACTATCCACTCTTTGTATTTTGGTGTTTGCAAATAATCCTCAAGCAGAACGGAACTGAAGAAACTTAACATTCTTATGGTTGATTGATGACAGAGGCAAAATGTATTTCATCATAATGCATACTTTGTACAATTCACAAAAAAATGGAAATTTCAGTGATGGAAAAGGTAAGTCACCTAACAATAACATTCTGGAACCATCACTGCTCACTGCAATGTACTTTAGTCCTCTTTTTATAACCGTATGGACATAGTTAGAAATATAACCTACACAATTAGATTTTCAGGAGGGCATTATAACTTAGACTTTATTGAGAAATATCATTTGCATGTTTAAAACAGACCTATATGGTTCTTCAGATTGGAACTTTCCTACAGAACTCAAGCCATGTAGAGAGTATATGTGATGTGCCATTTAAAGATGATTCCATTCAATAGCCATAAACAGAAAATCAGCAAGAACAAAAGAAACAGAACTTACCTATTGTGCTAACTCTGGCTGAAGGACTAGCTAACGCTGCTGGGACAGAGGCTTTGAGGGGGCCTGCCCCACTGTTTATTCTCAGAGCTGGCATATGGGGAGAGGTGGGTGATGTGGGTGATTTGCCATCAGAGGTCTTGGGTTTAGCTGATAGGTTCAGTGGCTGTGCCACTTCATCCTGCAATGATCATTAGAACATGAGCTGTGATAAGGAAAGGCTGATCAAAAATGCCTAGAAAAACACAGGTATGCAGCCTGTCATTTCCCATCAAATTACCAATCAGTGCTCTTCACATTCATTCTGAATATTACAGCATTTGGTTAGCTGTCAACATAATGTCTCTTTCAAATACACATTCAAAATACCTTTTGTATAAGATAAAGTACATGTGTACTCAACTACCCACAGAAAGCAGACCATTCATGTAACCGGTAAGAAATATTCTTAAAAGGCTACTCTTTGTACTATATTCATTTGTATTGAGAAACATTACACGTTAAATTTGAAGTTATGATCTAGATAGGGTTTTTTTTAAAATCTCCAAAGAAAAGGGGGTAGGATCTGATGCATCTTTGTACTCTCGTGCCTAGGCAGAGCACCTGGAACACCCATGATGGAGGACCACAGATAGTTGTGTGCCTCTCATCAGAACTGCTCTCCAAATTCAACACATAAACAAGAAAATTTCTTTCTTAGAAAATAATCCTTTCTCCCTAGGCTTCACAGAAACACCTTTGAATTTGATCTAAAAGTGAAAATAAACATAATTAACATTACCCTAATATGTACAACTTAGTTATAAGTCATACCACTCTAAACACTTAACAAACACCATGTTTTCAAAATTCAGATTTGTTTTCCAGATTTTTCTTTTAGCATAGTATCTGTGTCACGAAGATCATGTGATCGATTTAGCATGTTTGATGATTTCCAGCTGTTCTATGGTTTAACAGGTCAAAACACAGTTTATACTCAAGTTCATATCTTTCTCTTAGGTAACTTCATACAGGAGACTTGTGGATACAAAATCATTAAAATTTATATTATATCATATAAAAATATAAGAATGAGATAATATTATTGTATCACTTTTTAAACTGAAAATTGAAAAAGTTATTTTGTTCCTTTCCTGTGCTCAAAAATTGGAATATCATGCCACTTGTTCATATATTGATGTTTACAATATATCCAATTTTACATTAATATTATTGCAGAATAAAAATTTAGTTTCCATTTAGCTATTTCATGGGTTAAGAACATAAACTATTTACCAATAACAGGATGATTTGTTGAAAGTGGAAAAATTTTTAATCAAATGGGGTAGTCAGGTGTAATGTTAATTGCTGTGTATAAAAATTTAATGCATGGTTTTACGAAAAGAACTGTTGAAATAAATCACTTTACAAAATGGTTAGGTGGTAAAATGTGACATATATTTCAAGTATATGTGTGTGTGTGTGTGTGTGTGTGTGTGTGTGTGTGTATATATATATATATATATTTGAGATGGAGTCTTGCTCTCTTGCCCAGGCTGGAGTGCAGTGGCATGATCTCAGCTCACTGCAACCTCCACCTCCCAGTTCAAGTTATTCTTCTGCCTCAACCTCTTGAGTAGCTGGGATTACAGGTGTACACCACCATGTCCAACTAATTTTTGTATTTTTAGTAGAGATGGGGTTTCACCATGGTGGCCAGGCTAGTCTTGATCTCCTAACCTCAAGTGATTCACCTGGTCTGGCTTCCCAAAGTGCTGGGATTACAGGCATGAGCCATGGTGCCCAGCCTCAAGTTTATATTTTTAAGTGGTTTAATATTATTAGATTATTGTTTCATTCTGTGGCTATGTGCACTTAAGAATTCCATAAACAGATTAGTTAAAAAAAAAACTACTCTTGTAATACATTCTGTTTATATTGTTTCAGAAAAAAATGGAAAATTCATGAGATAATTCAAATTAGCAATCTTTTATGATGTCAGATAATTAATAAAGACCATTATACCAAATCTATATCGACTCATAGGATCCTGACAGGTAGTGAAATAATTCCATGATTGATTCAACATATAATTTAGGGAAGTTTACTTTAGCATTTTAAAAACTTATAGGGGCAATATTATCCCTAAATTGTTCAATGTGAAACATGACCTGTTCAACTGTAATCTGTATATATGATGTCCAAATTGGCAGCAACATAGAAGTAGTATATCCTTGCATTTTAATCTTGTATGGATGAATATTTCTCAAAATGCAGCTCACAGACTAGCGCCATAAGCACACCTGGGAACTTGTTAGAAAGGCAAATTCTCTAACACAAAAACTATGGGGATGGGTCCCAGCAACATGTGTTTAACAAGCATTCATTCCAAGGTGATTCTGATACACATTCAAGTATAAAAGCCACTGCCTCATATATTAACAATATAAACGGAGATTATTGAAAAAGTTTTATTAGACTTCAGCCTTTAAAAGCTTCTTCTGTATAAGAAGATAACATTTAAAAATATGTAATATTACCTCAGTCTTTAAAATATGAGTGGGACATATCATATGCTAATAATAAATGGAAATATTCATATTCATAATAAACAAAATGTTACTGAGAGTCCATGGGACAGTAAAAATTAGAATCCAGATCTACTCTTGTTCAGTTAAGCCGCAATATCCTGTCAAGAACTTTACTATTTACTACACTGCTGTAAATATTCCAGGCACTGTTTTCCCCTAGCAATATAGTACCTCTTTACTGCCTTCTGGGTGAAACTACTGACTTTTTTCATGACAGCCTTTAGAACTTCCTTTTGACATCATCATAACTCTTGCAAAAGTTTTGGGAGATGCTTGGGTCAAAGGTGGCTGTTTTACTTGGATGTGAAGAAAAGAAAAAGAAAGCAAAAATAAAAGAAGAGAAGAAGAAAGAAAAGAAAAGAAGAAAAGAAAAGAAAACGACTGTATTCCCAGAGTTGGAATAGGGAAGATATTTATGAACACAGAGGAAACAGTGTGAGTGTATAGTGAGGGTGGAATGGTGGTATTGATGAAGATGATGTGGATGTGGGTGCTGATCGGATAAACTGTCATATGTCTTAACTTTTAGTACTCAGAACTATTACATGCACATGCTGAAACATAACTATTCAAAGCATTTACTAGAGCAAGAGACCCACTGGAACTCTTAGTATTCACCCCCATTCAAGGCAGCACAGATATCTGAAAGCCAAAAAGTGCAAGGCCCCAAGGACATAATAGAGGTTGACAGTTCCAAAGTTGATGTAAATGTCATTCAAAATTGCCCTTTCCTTCTCTTCCATTGTGTGACCAGGCTAATGGTATATTAATAAGAACTCACATGCTTGATCTTTATACTGGTAACTGTATAAATAATTTTGATCCATTATATGATATTATTTCACAATTTTGTTCTTTTAATAATTTACTACTGAGCTACTATACCAAATGCCTATTATTTATGAAGAATACAATAATTACACTAGTTTCTAATTTTCTATTAATTATTTTTCATTTGACAAGATGAAAATTTAAAAATCTTAACTATAAAATGAACATGGACAATTTATTTTTGGCATGCACTCATAATATGAATATGTGCAATAAATGCTGAAGGTAAGACTTTTCCTGCTTTGTTTTTTAGTTGTAATCTTACGTAGGAGAAATTTGAAAGCTTAACATGATTAACCCCTATTCTTACAAATAAAACACACATTTAAACATGTTAAATAAATTACTTACAAATAAAGGGATGTGAGTAATTTTCAAGGTCAAAAATAATTGAAAAAGATACTATTTATAACAACTACACCATCAAGCAGTGAGCAAAGCAATTTCCTGTTAATCACTTGCCTAACTGTTAAATGAGGTTTCCAATTGGAACTTTTGAAAATAAAGTATTTCACAATTATTTCACATATACACAAAGTAAGAGTTAAGAATTTAGTTAACTGCTGAGTAGCTCCAAACTTGTATATCATAAATATAAAATAAGTATTTACGTTTAAGTAAATGTGTTAAGGTAAACAAGTTTTAACTAGTAGAAGGCTATAATTTACATGTCTAGGGTTCATTATAAATATTCCAAAGAGTTTGTTTAATTTTCACAACTATGATGTAATTACTAATCTTGTGGAGGAAAGTAAGGCTTAGAAAGTTCTAGTGAAACCCAGGGTTTTGGACTTAACATACAATACTTTTAGTTTCTGTGAAAAATTTAATCTTAGATTTAAAAAGGCATTGATGGAATATAACTTCTGAAATTCAGTCCTAACTACATAATTCTGTTACACAATAATCACATGAAAGATAATATATATGCAATAAAATCATGTAATACAAACACTTGCTATTTTATACATTAAAAAGTTAAGGCACAAATTGACTTATCTTAGTGACTTTTTTGTGCTTCTCTGTCCTCTACACTATATACCATTGAAAATTTCCTTTGTTAATACTAAAGAGTGGTTTGGACTATTCTTTCAGAAAAATCCCAAGAGTCCATGTATACATGGTACAAGAAATAATATTTTATAAAACCAAATACAAGTTTTAAAAACTCACTCATGATATAACTTCTCCTAATTAATTATTAAGCTAATCTTAGTTATCTGGGACAGAATGCAAAGTAAGTAAAATCCAAATAAACACATAGGTCTGGCAAGTTCCATTTACGTATAGCTACAATAACTTGTCCGAAAGCTAACATCTCAATACCAGTTTGTGGTCACAGTAGTAGAAATACTATAGAAGCTTAATCAGTTAATCCCAGCCAATGATGATCTGCCACACAGATAAAAAAATAAATTGCATAAAGAATGTGAAACAAATATGTAGCCTTAGTTGCACTGAGGGAATACCAATTGTCACCATAAGCTTATTCCACAGAGACACAGAGATTATTCCACATAAAGTTAACAAACGCTATAAAATAAATATATAGTTAAAATATATTTCATTTAGTTGGTTTTCAAATAACAAGTTTACTCTAGAAGAAAACATGTTACTGTAATGTGATTGAATAACAGTCATAATTTTATAACATACAAATACCAAATTATTTAGAGAAATCAAACATAATTTAACAAAAGAAAAAGCATTCTTCTCAATTCTAGGGCATTATTTCTCTCTCCCTACTACTTAGCTTTTCAATTCTTTGTTAAGGAGTTTT